CAGAACTTCTTTTGTGAAGTGGAGTATTATCAATTGCATAAGGTTGTTTTGAGGATTCAATGAAGTAGTGGCTATAAACCACTTATTGGAGTACCTGGCACATAATAATTGCTCCACAAATGTTAGCCATCATTGGAACATCAAAGTAAAGGCCTTTGTTCAGGAATGTGACTTTGCATACTTTGTTAGCTCAAGTTTAACCTGATAAGTTGTTTTCTATATCTATAATTCATTATAACTCTTCTGCTAAGAATAGTCCTGAGTTGGCATGAAGTTATAAACTATATATAAACAGTATGATTCAAAAGTCAAAGTGGTTTACAGAGAGCAAAGAATCTAAAATCGCCTCTAGCAAATTTCAGACTAAGAAGGAAGAACATCTTCTCTATAGCATAGTGGTTAAGAGCATAAACTCTGGAACCAGATTGCCTGGATTTGTATTCTGACTACACTCTTCAGTAGTAATGTGACCCTGAGCGAGTTATGTGTAACCTCTCTGTTCCCTAGAATCATCATCTGCAAAATAGTGGTAATAATAATAGCTATCTCAGAAAGTTGTTATAAATATATAGGACCACACACGCATACATGCTCACACACTGTCTCACACACATACAGGAGGTCACATATATGTAAAGTGATTAGACACTACAAATAAAACATACAAAGACTTAGAATAATGCCAGGCTCAAAATAAGCACTAGAGAAGTGTTTTCTGTTATTCATATTTAGTTTATGTATGTGTATCTTCTGGCAGAATTTTGGTTTTAGGGGAAAAGAAATCAGAAAATTTGTAATTTTTCCCTCCTCTCTAGTTCAACATTCTACAGCATAGGTTCATGGTAAATTTTTAGGAATTGGTTCCAGGACCCCTTCTCCCTCAATACCCCTAATCTCTCTAAAGTCACCAAAATCCACAGATGCTCAAGTCCCTTTATAAAATGGTATAGTATTTGCATATGACTTATGCACACCCTCCCATATACTTTAAATTATGTCTAGATTACTTATAATACCTAATACTGTATTGCTTAGGAAATAATGACAAGAAAAAAAATCTGTGCATGTTCAGTACAGACACAACCATCTTTTTAAAAAAAAAAAACATTTTCAGTCTGTGGTTGGTTGAATCTGCAGAGGTGAAACCCATGGAGGACCTATTGTACTATCTTAATCAAGCTACCTAAGGAAGAAAGCCACCCTCTCTACCTCTTCTATAGCCTTCTTAAAAATATAATTGGCATTTCATTTATGAACAGAGTTAGTACCTTTAAGACAATGTAGCCTTTAATGATGTTCTAGAAAAAAGAGGTCCTGTTTGTACTTACAACAATTTCTAGAAGTGTACTTTCAAAGGATGTCAATGACTTTGTTACTGCCAAGTTCTGTGGTCTTCTCTCTGTTTGTTGTTCCCTGGTCATCTTCTGCATTTGACATTATTAACTACTCTGTCCTTGAAATCATCCCTTTCCTGGGCAGCCTGACTTAGACAGGGCTTTCCTCCTAGCCATGACTTCGCAGATTTCCCTGGCACTCCTTTTGTCACCTGCTGCTTCCTGGGCATAGTCTCCCAGCACCAAGCCTCACCTTCCCTCCTCTCAATGCTTCCTTGGAGGACTCACTGATTCCCAAGCCTCTCCCTTCCCTCTTCAAGCTAAGGCCTCCCATTTGTTCTATTCTCTCAGCTCAGTTCTAGCCCCATAACCCCAAAAGCCTGCTAAAGTTTTCACTTGAATTCTTAAAAAACTTTTCCCCTCACAGTACCCCTGAGTATTAATAATACCACGCTGATCCCAGTCCCTGGGCTTAGCATGTTACTGCTACCTCTGACCCATCCCTCTACATCCCTTCCTTAAAGTTCATTTTGATTCCCCATGGTGCCTCACTGCCCCTCACTGCTACTTGCCCTTGTAGACCAGGACCTTGTCACTCTCACAACTACTTCCTAGGAGATATTGCCACTGTAGGCACTCTCAGGCCTTTCAATGAACAGTTTGCCCATCCCAGGGGGTTCCTGTTTCTACCCACATTAATGCAGATGCTTCTCGGGGTGGCTTTCTAATATTTTCATAGTTTGCATTTAAAGCCTGTAGGCCCGTATGTCTTACATGGCCCCACTCAGACTCTGCTCCGGGCAGGCCTCTTGCCAGGATCCCCGAACATACCTAGTATTCCCCACGTCAGCCCTTGCTGCTCTCCTGCCTCTGAGCAATCACTGCATTTACATTCTGCACTTGCTACTCCTTTGTGCCTGTTTACATTTGTGCAGGATGCATCAGCGTCGTTTTCAGGGTGTATGGATACACAACCCTTTCTTTAAACATGTTTAAATTATATTCAAATGTAGCAGAGCATCTGGAACAGTAAAGAAGGAACTCATAAAACCACTGAATATTACCTCTGAAAGAGACCAAAGAGAGAATGTTCCGCCCAATTCCCTTATACAAATGAAGAATCTGAACCCCTGAGACAGATATTTTTAAAATTAATAGTTACATATTTAGATTTGTGGTTACCTTGTATTCATGGAAAATGGTATCCAGTTGCCATTTACATTATTGGCATAGAGTTTTATTTTAGAATAAATTTGCTTTTGTTTATAAATATTAATTTAAAGAGAACCGTTAAATAGAAGTAACAAAATATGGCAAAAATTGTGAGAGTAATACTCAAGTGATAGAGGTCTTGAAAATACTGTAATCTAATATGATTAGAGTCTGTGCTTACTAAGTAAATATTGACTGATAGTTCACATCAGTCAACCTAGAAAACAGCTGTTAGACCCATTTCTTAAAAGTCCCTTATGACAAAATGAGCAAACATTAATTTTCACAGCTACATTTTTAGCATAAGGTCAAAGGAATAGAAGATTAAAGGGTCAACTGGCAAAAAATGCTTTGGGGCTACTAGGAGTTTACCTAGTTGCTGTGCTTGCTAGAGGTGGTGGTGTAACTGCAGGCCAGTGCTCTGGTCGAGAGGCAGGGAGTGGGGACATCTTTCAACCACCCATTGCTCTCCCTAGGACTCTTCCTGCCACTAAAGTTTAGCTGGATAAGCTGCACAGTGTTGTTCGATATGGAATGAGTCCATAAAACGTTTAAATTTCCATATGCATAAAAACATTAAAAAAGAGAGAACCCTTTGCATTTTACATGCCAATTCTTATTCATCCTCCCTTTCTTATTTTGGGAGTTTTAACAACCACCCTCAGCAGCCCTGCCTCATAGTGGTTTCCACCAGCAAAGTTAGCCTCCCTGACCAGGCTCACTGAATTATAGGCCTCGGAGTAAACTCTCTGCGGGGAAACACAAATAGACTGCTGCAGCTGGACCTCTGTTTATGGTGGGGCCTAAAAAGCCAAAATCTAAAATGCAAAGAACTCTGAGTATAGGGAGACATGAAAAGGGGATCCATCCACCGTGCAAGACAATTCTGATGCAGACCACCCATAGTTAAGCCAAATTTCACAGGTTAAGGGCAGAGGCCCTACAAAACTGCACTCACGCCAGACACCAGCTGCAAGTCTGCGAGGGGCCCAAGGCCACCTGCTCTTCTGACCAACTGGATACAAATTCAGGAGTCCCCATGAGCCCCTCAGTTTTGATAATTTGCTGGAACAACTCACAGAATTCCAGAAAGCACTGTATTTACCATTAAAGTTTTATTATTAGACCAGCCAAATAAAGAGATACGTAGGGTGAGGTCTAGGAGAGTCCCCAAGCATGAAGCTTGGAATGGTGTCCTCAGGACCCATTCCCCTCCTGGTACATCAGTGTGTATCCCCAATTAGAAGCTTACCCAAGTCTTGAGTACCAGAGTTTTTATTGAGTTTTCATTATGCGGGCATGATTGATTGAATCATTATCAACATGATTGGACTCAATCTCCCACCCACCCCACTTCTATCCCAGGAGGTGGGAGGGAGGTCAGACTGATATCACATGGCTCAAAGCCCTGACCCTTTAATCTCATGGTCAGTGTTCCTGGCCTGGCCAGCTCTAACCCTGGAACTGTCTTTGGGCCCACAGAGAGTCACCTCATTAGCATAAACTCATATGTGGTCCCAAAGGCCCATCACGAATAACAAAAACATTTCTGTCACTTGAGAAATTTCAGGGGTTTGGGAGCTCCCTCTCAAGAACCCAAGACAAAGCCAGATAAATTCTTTATTACACAACTTATAGAAAATACAGTAAGAATTGGACCTATTTTAAGTCATAGAAAACAAAGGCAAAAAAATTACAATTTTTGTTGGGGAAGGATGATAAATTTGAAAGTTTTTGCTGATTTTAAATACATTCTAAACCTGAGTTCTGAGGTAATTGCTAGTTTTTGCTTGTGAAGAATGATGTTAATAGACCTTCCAAAGTATAAAATATTATACATGGAGTCTAGATTTGTGAAGAATTTGGGGAAGTGGGGAATAATAGGAGAAATATATGTTACTTGTTTAACCAGAAAGCTACCCACTGGGAAATGTCATTTGAATATGAAATAAATGGTCCTCACACATAATAAGGGCCTTTTCATTTTTCACTCATTCATTCATTCAACAATATTTATTGAGTACCTCATCTGCTAGTCACTGGACATATATTGTTACACTTTCAGTATAATAAAAAATATTTGTTGATTTGCATTTCATAGAAAAGGGGAAGAATGAACTATTTGAAACTATTGGCTGATTTAAACTGCAATCTAAATGAACTTGCGTTCTGAGATAATTGTTAGTTTTTGCTAGTCAAGAATGATGTTAAGAGAGCCCCAGATTAGGAAGTAGTAGGCAAAAAGTCTAGATTTGTGAGGAATTCAGGGAAGTGAGGAATAATAGGAGAAATATATGTTGCTTGTTTAACCAGGAGCCTGCCATCTGGTCTTAATATTTTTAAGCGAAATCAAGAAGTGTTTTGAAATGTGATGTGTTATAAACTGTTCTTTTTTTTTTACTTTCCTGTAATTGGAGCAACATACTAATTTCTACAAGTTGTGACTACTAACAGAGAGCAATCACCTCACAGACTTGTACCGAAGAGACGAGACCATCCAGGTGACGGGAAACGGCCACGTGCAGAGTCCTCGCTTCCCCAACAGCTACCCCAGGAACCTGCTCCTGACCTGGCGGCTGCGTTCCCAGGAGAAGACAAGGATCCAGCTCGTGTTCGACAACCAGTTTGGATTAGAGGAGGCAGAAAATGATATCTGTAGGTAAGTGAAAAAGCATCCACGTTAGAATACTCTTCCAAGAAGGAAAAAAAAAAAAAAAAGATGAATGTAAAGCATCACATCAAATGTTCCTTTTGAGCCCTTTAGACTTACTTGAAATGTGTCACTTCTTTTTCCAAAAGCCTTGATGTCAACCCCAGTAGACAAAGTAGCATAGACAGCTGCTTCTGCTGCCGAGGGCCTAATAACCTGGCACAACTCGCAGAAGCTCATTTCCACAACTGTCAGGACTGCAGGACTCCCAAAGAAGGGGGAAATCTCGTGGTCCTGGGCCTTTCCAGACACAGAACAGCCTTTGTGAACACGTGGATGCACCCAACATCCCAGGTCCCCTGCAACTGCATCATATGGCCCCAGTCAAAGCCTGCCATGTGCTTAGAGAGCATCAACCTGCATTGGGCTCCAGGTGATGCAGCCATGGTAGCTGTAATGATTTTCCCCAGCACTGGGAGAAAGTGGCTGGGGACTGTCAGGGCCTGACCCTGAATTCATAGCGTTAAGGCCTCAGATATATGTAGGAAACACACCCAGAGTCTGTGTGCTCCTCAGATGGGTCTGTTTCTTGCACTTTCCAGGTCAGGAGTAGAAGATGAAAGCCATACCTGATAATCTTCTCCCTTCTCAGCATATTTATCAAAGAAAGCCTGGGCTGTTGTTCTTTGAATTATCCGCTCACAGTATTTTACTCACTTAATTAGCATGTGTAAGACTTGGCCTGTATTTTTTTTTTCCTTTTTGTACTTTACTGCACACACTCGTTCTGCATTGCCAATGAACTACTGAACTGCTAAATCCTTTCAGCAGGTTTATTTTCCTTTGAATAATAAAAAGAGGTTCCTCAAATTTGTTTGCCCTTTGTTGCATGTTTATTATGCTGACAGCTTTTATTATGTTCCTATTTTTCTGAGAATGACAGCAGTGACTATTATTTTCTGGGACCATAGAGGGTAATGTATGCCAGAAAGCAGAGACCAATGCATACAGAAAGAGCTAGTTAATATTTACAAAGAGAATAAACTAATGCTCATCTTACATCTTTTCAACCTGGAAAAAAAGAGAACTAATTTTCTGTGCTAAAAAAATAAAATAATAAAATCATGGAATAAAAAGCACTATTAAGAGATTATTTTTTAAAAAAGATTATTAAAAGTGATGACATGCAAGGTACCATGATCTGTTTCTACCCACAGAACACTTCTGACACCAAAGGTGGTGAGTTTCATTCCCACACCAGTCAATTTTCCAACACTCACTGGTGTCCTTCAATTTAATTCTGACACTACCTACCTGGAGTTAGTATCAGATCCCACAAGTTAAGGGCTTACCCTCCACGTTTAATGCTAGTTGCAGGTCCCAGGCTTCCCATACCTCTGACTGACCAACTATAAATCAGGGGGTTCCAAAACTCCTCTCATTGGGTTTGATAATTTGTTACAACAGGTCACAAAATTTAAGGAAACACTCTACTTGCTATTACCAGTGTATTATAGGGGCTATGACTCAGGAACAAATGGAAGTGATGCACAGGCAGGGTATGTGGAAGGGGTGCACCCTTCTTTGAGTGCACCACCTTGATGTGTTCACCAGCCTGGAAGCTCTCTGAACCCTCTACTTAGGAGCTTTTATGGAAGTTTTATTCTGTAGGCATGATTGATTACATCATTGGTGATTGATCTCAGTCTCCAGGCCCTGTCATCTTCCCAGAGGTCCAGAGCTGGGGTCAGAAGTTCCAACCCTCTAATAATGTCTCGTCTGGGTCTTGCTGTTGACCAGCCCCCATTCTGAAGCTACCTCGGGTCACCTCATTAGCTAAACTCTGATATGGTTGAAAGGGTGCTTATTATGAATGGTGAAAGATGCTCCTCACACTGCATCACTCAGAAATTCCAAGGGTTTTAGAAGTCCTGTGCCAGGAACCAGAAACCAAGATCATATATATGGTTCTGATTATATCACAGTATCATAGAAAGGAAGCCAGGGCTCCACAACTGAGCTGGAGTTTTTATACTGGCAATGAACTCTTTTGGTATCCTGACCTCAAAAATAGGAGAGGAAGAGTTAGGATGGTTTCCTTTCTGGATCCTTCATCAAATCTAGTTGCTCCTCAGAATTTATGAAAAGAGGTAAAAGAATAAGAGGTAAAAAAGAGGAGAGGAGGAAGTGAGAGAGACAGGCTTGCCTCAGAATCCACCCTAGGAAATAAAATGGTGCTTGCTCTCTTGACTTAAGATTCAGAGTTAAAATTACACTGATGCTGTGTTTTTTTAAGCAAAAGTGACCTATTCTGTTATAACAAAGTTTCAAGTATACACATACTTTTTGCAGTAAATATGATTTACACACATTGTGTACAAAATGAAATGCAATTGACTTCCTACCATCTGTTCCAAAGCCTCCTTGATGTTTACCTTATAATATTTTATTGCTTGAATGATTCTTTGTTAGTGCCTTTCACCTTCTAAGCACCATACAAACGTTAAGTAATTAATTTACACAGCACCCAAGAGACATCCAGCTGGTAAAATTATATAAGCCTCCTTATTATGCCAGTTTCCATAAGGAAACTGAGGCAAAGGACATAAGGGCCTCATAAATCACTGTCAAAGAAATGTAGTCACCATATCATTATTTTTTACTTACTCCTTAGATTATTACCCTGCCCAGTCCAGTAACAGCTCTGAGGTCCATGGGTAAGACCAGGAAAGCTATATTGGTGTTTCTTTATATTCAGACATGATGTTTCTTATGCTGATTCCTTCTGGTAATCATGACAGAGAAATATAGTATGTATGTGAGACTTCTGTCACTGTTCACCCTGAATGCCCATCATCTGTGTGTTAAAACGTTAGCATCTGACATAATTTTGGGAAAGGCAGAGTGAAGAAGTAGGATGCTGAAGAAGTAAGATGCTGATGACCAGAACAGAGAAGCAGATAGTTCATCTCATCAGGTCGAATGTTCCAAGATCTTAAGGTTCTGAAAATAGAATAAGTGATCCCTAGAAGATGCAAACTCTGCCACTGAGGGTGTCGTAGAATGTGATGAAATGATGGGGTTCTAGGGAGGGACATCGGAGAATCCAGTGGTCACGAGGAATAACAAAATAGGCCTTGCTGTCTTCTTCAGTCCTGGGATTCTGTATTTCTGTGACCACAGCTAGAGGTCTGTGATCTGAGGCTCATTCAACCAGCACAGATTTTTCCATTATTGGTTAGCTTTGCATCTGTTCTTTCCCTTATGATAAATTTTATATTTTATGATATGATCCTTCCAAAAGAGTTTTCAAAAAAAGAATATAGCAAATCCTATCTGTATACATTTATTTATTTTCTATAATGAAAATGCTGATTCTGTAGGCTACGTAGATATCGATCATTTACTTTCTAGAGAAAGTACTGAATGTGATAGACATTAATTCAAAGTGAGAATTTGTTTGACAAACTTTATACAGTTAATATTTGGCCATGTAATTAGGGTTGCATCTCCTAAAATATGCCAACAGATCATCGTTATTAGTTTTTCCAAGAAACCTTTCTAAGCCAGATGTTCAGAAAGTAGCCCGTTTTGATTATTGATGACTTGGGAAATAGATGAGTAAAGTTTGAATCTGGAAAACTTAATCCAAAAATTAGCTTTCCTTTTAACATTTCTGTAGGCTATAATTTTCATTTCAGATGGTAGTTATGAGAAATCATATATGCTAGTTTTAATTTCTCAGTGAAAGTACGAATTTCAAAATCTACTGTAATCAAAATGTGTTCATTATGTCAAATTGATTCTAGGTATGATTTTGTGGAAGTTGAAGATATATCTGAAACTAGCACTGTTATTAGAGGACGATGGTGTGGACACAAGGAAGTTCCTCCAAGGATAACATCAAGAACAAACCAAATTAAAATAACATTCAAGTCCGATGACTACTTTGTGGCTAAACCTGGATTCAAGATTTATTATTCTTTTGTGGTAAGTAGCTTAACCACCCTGTGATTAAAAGCAGACACTGGTTTCATGCAGTATACAGATCGTTTTCTATGATATAAATACAGTGGCGTGAGTGTGATTGAACTTTATTAATTCCTTATGGCATGATTTGTTCTTACCTTATGGTCAAAATATTAAAGTCTTCATTAGTAAGAAATATCATTTGGGGTCTATTAAGTCAAACTTTGGGCCCTACCTTTTGAAAGAGAGCATAGTAAATAGAAAAAGGAAAATAGTTTATCGTAAAGCAGGTAAGAAGTTACCTTTCATTCCATTAAAGCAAGGTAAATGTATAGCCAAATAGGAGGTATGTGAGAGTTGAACAGGCTTTAAGAATGAAAGCTAAAGAAAATAATTTCTCTTTGGGTTTGAAAATTTGTGTATAAATTTCATAGCAGGAAAAGGTCCTGATGATTTTAATTTAAATTATGACCCAGATTTGGGAATGGTGTATGTTATAATCATGCAAGCCTCAGTGTTTGCTAGCATCTTTAAAACCATAATGTCCAACTCAGGACTCAAGAGTGTGAATCCTGTTGGCTACCCCTGAGCTCCTTTTGTTGTCTCGCCTCTATTTAAACACCTCAGCAGGTGTTTCCAACTTTAAATGGTTCTGATTGTTAGACAATGTTCAATCTCATACTGAGTCAAAATCTACAATGTAGTTAATTTTAGTTGTTGAGTTACAGGCAAGCATGTATCTTCTTTACTCATTCATTCATTAACAAAACAATATGAAGTTCCTGCTGTTTGTCAGACACTCTGATAGATACAGTAGTTACAAGGTAAATAAGACAGACAAGGTCCTTGAACCTCCTGCAGTTTATAGTCAGATGGAGATGACAAATAATTAAAAAGCAATTAGCCAAGAATGTCTGTAAGACAGAAGAAATGGGTGCTCTAGATTAAGTCCATGTAGACATTGGGATTATTTTGCCTAAATAGTATCTTAAATACCCCTGAATGCTTCAACTGTTGATAGCGTACTGCCTTTTGTTACTGGCATTAGTTTTCACTCTCACTGGGCTTGTCTCTGTCCCTTTTCCCAGTGTGGACGCCAGAATAAAACACAGTACTATAAATGGCATCAATTTGTTGGGTTCTTCTTCTCTTACGAATTAAATTTAGAATAGGAAATCTTATTTTATGTTTTAATCTGATGGTTCTTTGCATTATGGTGAGTTATTAAACACTAAGTGAATTCTACATCAGAACATTGTAAGTGAAAAAATAGCATGTGCTGACACTGGTTCCAGTTTTAACTTGAAAATAATCCATCAAGCATGCTTTCCATTATTGCAAACCCACACAGTGCTGCTCAGTATTAAAATTGAAATGTGAACCTTTGGTTTCCACGTTTCTTCACTTTTTAATGTGTTCAGTGATGCATCTGTTCACAGTCGCTCTGGACAGAGCAGGCTTGGCGTGTTAGAATGGTGATGGATGGGCTTAGTGAAGGATCTTTTTCCCTTTAAAATAACAAGCACTATTAGTGCTAATGTTTGATTATAACTAAGCTGAATGGTCCATAAATCAGTAATAAATACCCTAACACAATGTCTTTAAAGCAAAACAATTCTATTGGTAGAAGGCAGTGCAAGTATGGGTTTCAGGAAAAAGGAGTATTCCTGTTGCAGATGTTTTAGGTTATGGCACAGGCTCATCACTCATCTCTTAGCCAATGTTAAGTGGAATATTGGGCAGCGTTGGTAGTTTGGATGTAAAGTGTTTGGCATCACTCCACTCGTTTACCTCCATCGGTATATGGAATTTTTTTTTTTTTTTTTTTTGAGACAGAGTCTCACTTTGTTGCCCAGGCTAGAGTGAGTGCCATGGCATCAGCCTAGCTCACAGCAACCTCAAACTCCTGGGCTCAAGCAATCCTGCTGCCTCAGCCTCCCGAGTAGCTGGGACTACAGGCATGCGCCACCATGCCCGGCTAATTTTTTCTATATGTATTAGTTGGCCAATTAATTTCTTTCTATTTATAGTAGAGACGGGGTCTCGCTCTTGCTCAGGCTGGTTTCAAATTCCTGGCCTCGAGCAATCCACCTGCCTCGGCCTCCCAGAGTGCTAGGATTACAGGCGTGAGCCACCGCGCCCGGCCGGAATTTTGTTTTTTTTTAAAGAAATGATGATAACTCTAATATTTTTGTGTATTTCTCAACTGGTCTCTTAGTCTGCATCCTTTGAGAATAGCTACAGACTCTTTCCCCTTCTGAATAGGCTTCTGGCAGTAATTATGGTCAACTAGGGCCAAAGTGCTTTGATGGCTGAATTCCAAGAGGTAGAATGAGCTTAACTTCCAGGTATGTACAGACTCTAGACCGTGTGGTTTTTTGATAAAATTCATCTGTTTGATTCTTGGCTCAGTAGGGGTAGAAGGTCACATATGGCTTGACCACTGTATTGAGAAGATCACTTTATGCATGTTTAAGTTTTACTTAGACAGACTTTAACGATGAGTTTATAAACTCAAGAGACCAGGCATGAAACTGAAAGTGAGCCACGTATAAATTAACAAACAGGGAGACCGTGAGATTAAGAATGGCAAGCCCTCTTCAAGTGTATTTAAATAATGTTTTTTAGAATGCTAAACACCTCCAGGGGATGGAAGCAGCTGTTTTGCAAGCCCTATTTTAAGCAACGGTAGGTGCTAGAGAATGTGAGCCTTAAGAATAGTCTCTGAGGAGTCAAAGTGCTCCTGGAAAATGGCAGGTAGCTGTTAGGATAGGTCAGGATCACCTCCCGTTTCATCTTTACCTTTCCCTTTTGTGCTTCCCGTGGAACTTCTCTGCTCTTCCCACCTCAGTGACTCTCAGGTATGCAATGACTTCTCCTGTGGCTATAAGTAGTAGGTGCCCAAGAGAATAAGAGCCCATTAATCTGAAATCAAATAGACATGGGCCATGCTCATAACATCTTTGGAAACACACAGTGTACATTTTTAGTCAATTTTTCACTCCAGCAAACTGCGGAGACTAATGGACAACATCAAGGTATCTTATTTCCAGTTGAAAAGGATGCTGATATTACAATTTTGTGTGATATACTTGGAACTGAATCTTCTAGCATTTTTCGGCACCTGTCACAGTCCCCTCCTAGGGCAGGGCAGCATAGCCACATGGGACCAGAGCTGGACTGTAAAGCATACTTCAGATTGAAGGCAGGTCTCACTGGTTACTAATGGTATGTTCCTGAATAAGCCTTTTCCCCTTTGCTTTTACATCTTTAACATGGGGATAATAATTGGAGTTGGTATGCGATTTTAAAACAATAACGAATACTTAGCACAGTGCCTAGCATATAGTAAGTGCTCGATAAATGGTGATAATGATTCTACATTTGCCATCACAAATTATGTCCATATCTGTCTCTTCCAGATAAATGGCAATGAACATTTTGAGGGTAGGTCAAGTATCTTATTCCTATGCTAGACATGGCTAGACAGTGTGTTTGTTGAATTGATGCTTTCTTAAGAAAATATGACTCACAAGAACTGCCTAATTTCATCTCCTTGCTCTCCTGCTCAGCCTTGTTTTCTGGTTTCACTCTATTCAGAAGAATAGATACCTTCAGAAAGCGCAATTAAGTAAAGTGGGTAATTATCAAACACTTGGTAGCAAAATATGAGTATTTAAATAAATTAGGATCTCACACCAAAAATCCAGTTTATTGGAGAATGAATGAATGGTTGAATGATTAGGAATCTTCTTGTGAAGACCACTAAGTAGATTATTGGAAAGGTGTCATAGGGTCCCTATGGACTATGTGCAGAGAAGTGAACAGACATGGATATGAATTTCAGCTCTGCTGTTAACAGCTCAGGTTTTTCAACTGTAAAATGGTGATAATACTGCTGGACTTTTGGCAGTTGAGCTGATTAAATTAAACAAATTTTATAAACCGCTCTGCCTGGAACTTACTAATTACTCAAATATCTGCTGCTATTATTGTTGTCATTATCACTGGTCTTATTATTATCATGTCAGGTGACAGGTAATCTCGTAGAAATAGCCCACTTGTCTGTGTGGGGGGGAGGGGGCCTACACACATGAATGTGCACTCTCACCATATTCACATTCTTCATCCAAAGTAGAAACATTTTATTGTATATTGTAACAAACATGAGAACTTTTATTTGTGTTTGTGTGTGTGTAATGTAAGGTCCATTTTTTTTAATTCAAAAATAAAAAATTAAGTCATTGTAAGCTACTCAAACTTTCTTGTTTTATTAATAAAGTCTAGTTTACTTTATAAATTGAAATTTACTAATACCTTTTATAAACACTTTCTAATATAAAAGAATTATTTTATCAGACCAGTTGCTTAACTGTAAAATCTCTGCAGTTTGAATTAAACTTCAAGTGGTGCAGTTAAGATTTCCACTGAGATTAAAACTCAAGTGAAGCATGATTTTGCATAAAAATGATTATTTAAAATAGAGAAAAAAGAAAAAGAAGGGGATGGAGAAGAAAAGGAGAAGGAGGAGGAGAACCCAGAAGTTGAACAAGATAAGATTCTCAGTTATAGTAGCTTTTGCAGGTTCTGATTTTGCTTACCCAAAATTTAGCAATTTGGTGAAACAAAAAACAATATAAGAACAACAAAATAAAGGTGGGCAATTTATCCTTATCTGACTAAGCTGAATTCTTATACAAAGCTAGAGAGTAAAGGAACTCATTCATTTAGTAAAGTGTGGAAATTTCACCTGTAATCGCACAGCCAGTTAAAAATTGTTGACCGTTCTGAACATCCAGCAGCCAGGACCATATATAGAGCCAAGGACTGCCAATGTGGGGACGGTGATCCCCACAGCAGATTGTGTTTACCTCAGTTGCTTTTGCTTAAATATAACCTACTAGAGGTTTGAGAGCTGCAAGAGTTGTAATACAGTTGCATAAATTCCTACCTTGAGCCCGACAAGGTATGCCCAGGGCTCTGGAGATACAGCAGTGAGGAAGTCAGGCAGAGTCTCTGCT